CAGTAAAACAGTGTCAACCTCAAAAGATCAAAACCCATGACTTTGAAAAACTGGTCTGGGCCCGTGATTTCCAAATTCCCTTTATCTGCTGAGGTGTGTGCTCGATGCTTTGTGCTGTTAACAAAATAAGCAATGTTGAGAAGAGGAATTTTGAAGGGCTTCTCACATCCTATCTATAACCATCCCCAAAGGGCAATCCTAGCTCGTTTTTCCTTTTAATCTTGCCAGAGAAGAAAGGCAGCTTGCACCTAGCAACATCTCACAGAAAGCCATATGGTTCAGCACTGTTCTTTTCCCCACACCTAAACGAGACTTTACCAGGTACATGATGCACAAAGTTTGTCTACAATCCTGATTCCAAATAAGAAAACATTTTAGTAATTACACTGCCAGTTAGATTTCTGGTATCTCACACGGTGCAAGTTCAGGCAGAAGACACTCACAAAGACACAGACTTAAATCCAGTTTTATAATCCCACTTCTAAGGCCTTCAGGAAGTTGGATTATTTTAGTAGAAACCTGAGAGGTAAAAGCAACAGTTCTGCTATTATTACCTTGTGTGAAGTGATTAATACAGCAGTTTATTGTCTCAGTTGCACAAAAGAACCATGTGCCAACTCTTCCAGCTGAGGAAAAAGCACCATGTTGCTTTGAAATTAAAAACAACATGGAAGAGTGCCAAGGGTGAAAGGTGGACAAAATCCAAATTTCCCTCAAGCAGAAGGAATGGAAAAGTAGAGCTATGGCAAAAAAATCTCTTTCTACCTTTGCTTCTACTGCTTCTGAATTTACAAGAGAGTTGTGGTAAGCTCATTGAGAGCCCAACTGAAAATCATTAGAATAACAAAATCTTAAGGGGTGGGATAGACCTTAAAGATCACCTAGTCCCAAGGGACTAGGTCTCACTAGACACTTCCCACTAGACCAGGCTGCTGAAGGCATTATCAATCCAGCTGTGAACACTGCCAGGGTTGGGGAATCCACACAGGAATCACCCTGGGTGACCTGTTCCCAGCACCTCACCACCCTCACAGTAAAAATCAACCCAGGTGAGCATCATGGCAACTGGGAAAATCAGAGAATCCATGGAGAAAATTCCCTTGCTGTCCACATCAGTTTGCATCATATCTTGTTGGCAATCTTGCATATTGATTTCGTTTTTAGTGTCTACACAACCAGCAGAGCTCTGTGCCCTTCTCAGGTACCCCACACTATACTAAGAATAAAATACAGTGTGTAAATCTGCTGGCCAACATGCACAAGCTGTGTTTTTTAGCTTTAAGTTTAAGCCATGCTAGAACCAACATCAGTGGGACTCCTCAGCTGTTACAGACACACTTTTATTCATCACAGCCCATCTGGAGATACAGAGGCCATTCCCAGCAGCAGTCTACTGCAGCCCTCTGCAGCTTTTCCTTCTGCACTGGTGCCCAGAAAAATTAGAAAGACACTCTGATTTAATAAAAATACATGCACTGTAACAGAACATGTGATATAGGAATTCAGTAGGAAATAATCAAACACTAAAAAAAGGGAAAAAAAAAAGAGCTTTTAAGTGTGACAGCTCTCAAATCCGATTGCATACCTCTCTCTCAAGTCTAGAGGTGGGCCTCTCATAGAGTAGGTAAAAATTTCCATACTTCAGTACCATAAAGTTCCTGTTTCTTGAGCTCTCTAGGAAACCCTTTTAAACACCCAGCATCTTGGCATGTTGAAGAGCTGTGCTCAGTGCAGCATAAATGTATGCCCATCTTGTCCTCAGCTCTGACACACTGAATTTTGTAAGAAAAAAGGAGGCTTTCCCAGCTACCCGAGTGATATTAGAAATACATCATGTGGAAGAATAATTTCTGGATAGCAGAAAAGAAGAACTTTCTTTTGCTGGACATGGAATTTTTTTTTTTCTTTTTAAGCAGAAGATGTCACAAGCTCAAAGTTTAGCTGAGATGGTGAATTCAGGTATATATAAGTGTATCTCAGTTATCACGACCACATACTTTCTATACAATTCACATATTTTACGTTTCAAAATCACATTTAACACAGAAAGGCCGATCTTCTCTGAAATCTGGGCTTGATTTATATAATGCACCTTTAAAGTCCCTCTTTTATGTGTTAATTCCTCTTAATAAAGAAAGATGTTGAAGGCACAGATTTAAGCTCAGTACATTCTGCTATGTTCTCCCTAAAAGACTACAGCAAAACTCTCATAAAATAGCTATTTAGGGGCTACATGGAGCTTCTTTCTGATCAGGAGTCACTGTGGAGAGATAACCTATGGATCATGCATAATTCACTGCTCATTTGCCCCTGTAAAGGCTGGGAGGAAAATAAAAGGGGCTGGTGACAATCCTGCAGCAAAGGCAGGGCTTTGGATTCTCCTCAAAGGATTCCCAAAGGTGTTCACCTCCCACTGCACCCAGCTGCTCCTGGAATTCACTGGCACTCGGGCATTGCAGCAGAAACCTTGGCACCTTGTCCTCTGCTCTTACTTCTTCCACATATGTTGTCTTCAAAAGGCATTTTAAGACCAAAGGATGAGCCAAAAACCTGGGGGAAGCTTTTGATCATTCGCAGCATGGAAGGTCTTATGTGGCATTCCCAGTTTCTGCAATAGCAGGAAATACAGTAGTGCTGTTGCCATTGTATGTCTTTATATCTAAAGAAACATATGCTCAGAATTCAAATGAGAGAATTCACACTTTACATAGACTAGGTTTTCTTTAATGTTTCACTTCCTCCTGTCCTCTCTTCTTCAGGTTTAAAGGAATCCCTCCTTGAAGCAATTCTATTCTATTATCTATTATAACTTGGTATATTAAAGTGGCTAAAATTCTGGAAAAGTTATAAAAGAAACTGGTGCTGAAGTTGATCAAGACTACAACCTACACTCACTAGGCAATAATTTATGAGCTACAAAAGCTACTCAATCCTCCATTTTTCTCAATTATTCCCAACACACAGTCCACACAACAAGATTAACATAAAATCCAGGCAACATCAGAAAGCTATAACTGTTTACAATAAATCAGCCACTTCTCCTTCATTAGGCTTTGCACAGTTCATAGCATTTCCTTTCTGGAAAAATCATGACTAATTACTGTCTACCTTCAGAAACAAAACTATCAGTAACATTTCCATGGGGATCATCTGAAATGGATTTCTAATAACATGCAGGTTAAAAGGTTTTCTTGTTCTCCCCTTTCTGCATCCAGCATTCAAACTTTATGGTCCCAATGACACTATGAAAGGCACATGTGCTTAATAACAAAACTTGTAAAGAAGCATGTCTTAAAACATATAACTGCAGGTTTAAATATAGAACAGACGTGAACTTGGGCACTCATGTAATACAGAGGAACAGGTTCTATTTATTCCCCCAGCAGGCAGCCTCAGAACAGGAATAACTGAGGCAGCAGATAAAGGCTCTTATCCTGGGCTGGTTGTATGCAGCACTTCATCAGGTCGCTTAAAGGCACTTTGCTAAAGTAGAGATGCATTGCTATCCCTGTTTTACAGAAAAGGAAAAGCTTCCCAAGGTTACAGAAGAAGGTCACAAACACATATCTGTATCTGCAACCACCACCTACATCCCTGAACTACTGTGCTTTGTCCATTAAGCTACACTCCAAGCACTTCACAGACTGAGTATTTATGTAAACATTTAACTTGGTTTCTTAACAAACCTAAGAGAACTCAGTCTTTTATCTAAGTTGAATTGAATTAGGCCAACCTCTAATGTGCCCAAGTACATAACACTGATGGCCCTGATTTCTCTCTCTAGAAATGCAGGGACTCGTAGCATTACTTCTGCATAAATTTGGAGGAAACACAGATGGCCCTGATGCATCTCACTTAAACAGGAAGACCAAGAAATATTTCAAGTCCTGACAATCTAAATTTAGGTAATGCTTTCTAAATCTCAAGGTGGAAGACAGGAGAGAGATTCCTGATTTAATACACTTACATCAGCTCAGAGCCTTCTCTTGGAGGAACAGCATGAAAGACCATGGCACAAGTTAGGGTGATGCATACAGCAAGCCAGTCCCCACAGAAAAAACATCCTGTATTTCCCTGTGAGGCAAGTGACACCCAGAAGATACCATCCTATCTGGACCATATCTCCCCCCATACCTCCCTCACAACAAAACCTGGTTTTCAGTTAACACTGCCCTCCACCAAACCATCTGCAGATGGGAGCCCCTGCTGACCTCCAGAGGCAAAGAAAAGCCTCAAAGCATGTCTGATTGGAAGAGTCCAGATTAAATGCTCTTTCTAGTGACTGTTTTATTTGGTTACCCTTACTGTCCCCTCTGCTTCTCTAGCAGGGCACCAAGCCCAGTCTGAGCATTGGAAGGCTTCAGAGTTTTGCAGCTGCCTCTTCGTTTGGCTTTCCCTCCTGTGCCTCAGTGTGGTGTCTTGTTTTAAATGGGAAAGCCCAAAGACTTCATTTTTATAGAGTGCTTGAACAGTCTATTTGATGTCAACCTCATTTTTGAGAGGTGTCCAACACCTTGGCTCCCACTGAACTCAAATACATCGCTGGGGCTGGCACAGCCAGGGAGCCAGGCAGGGCACACTGCTTGTCCCATGAAGCCCACCTGCACGGCACACAAAAACTAGCAATACAGTTCTTTCAGATGAGGCAATTCAGACCAATACAATGAGTGTGTGGCTGGAAGTGACAGATGTGGTGAAAATGCTGAAACGTTCACTCCAGACTGTTGTCCAAGGGTGAGTGCAGCCCTTATTTACAACCCTCTGCTTCACAGCTCAGCCACTGAGGTTGGGCTCAAAACTTCACACAACTTCACTTGGAGGTCTGCATTTTCTAGGGGGTTTTATTCCAAAATACAGCAGAGAAACAAATGAATAAGCAGCAGCTTTCAGGGAGGAAGCAACTGAGAACCACTTGCTCCTGCCAGCCCGCCCTGCCTGGTTCAGCAGTGACAGCATGGAAACATAAAACATAACTGCATTCCCCACAAACTCACATCTCCCACGGCAAAAACTCACACTGACAGCACCAGGGCATTCAGAGGAAGTGGCTGCAACGTTAGCATTCACCAGGAATCATTCCACAAATAATGGAGCTACTGTTCCCACTTCCAGGCGGGAGAAGCACATGGCACAGGAGCACCTATGCCCAAAGGGTGAACTGACAAAGGCACGTCCAGCACACTCGGATTATTAACACTGCTCTGCTGGGAAGCAGTGGGGAAATAGGACACTCTGGACTCTCCAGAGATCAGATTCTATTTTCATGGCTAATTTTATGACTACAGTAAGGTATTTAAGCTACCACACCCAGCAGTAACTAAGATTTACGTGGTTTATGAGGTCAGAGAGGATTTGTCTCATGAATTTTTACATCTTGCAAGCAATCTCACTATTCTGAAAACACCTGCATAACTGTCATGCCAGTCAACCAAACAACAATATTTTTTCTCCCATACAAAACAATTTCTGACATACTCCATTTTATCCAAGAGCCAGAACAATTTTTCAAAAGCAAAATCACTACATCTTGACAAAACAGGAGAATGAGAGGAAACACCTTGTGCAGTCACCCTCAGCAGACAGGGACTGGGAGAAATGCAATAACCCCTTCCCATCACACACAAGGAATTTCCAGTTGAAACCCATTCTTTGGAGAAGGCTGAGAGAGAGCACACGGTCAGAATTCACTTGCAGTAGAAAAACAGTTTGCAATCTCGATTACAAAGTTGCTGTTATGATACCATAATACACTTTTTAAGCAGCTCATTACCAATTTATTAAACATTAGGGCTTCTTTGAGACTGCTGGAAATTATTGTTTAAACTGCTATTTAAAAGTGTTCAGACTCACAGCATGGATAATTCATTCCTATGCCAATACAGATACACATATGGGGGGTGTAGAGCTGTAATACAGATCTTTTTGAAAAAGTGGTTTTGCATGCAAAGCAAGTGTGCTTTCTCACATCTGGACCATGAACTAGATGAAATAACTTCCAGATAACAAACCATAACTTACTGGAGCACTAAGTGGTACCTCCAAATAAACATTAATATTATTTTGACATTTGGATACCTTATACAACAATAAAGCCATTAATACAGACAAGTAGACGTGTCTCCATGTTCCAGGAGATGCCAGGCCATCACCTTTTGAAAGGGTTGTGTGGCTTTAGAGAGAGGTAACAACCTCATTAAAGCCTTTAGTCTGTCTGGAGATTTTCTCATTTGTTTGGGCTGAGATTTTTGGGTTGTTTTTTTTTTTTTTTTTTTGTGTAAAGGATTAACAGAGGAGGAGCAGTGCTTCCTTGTCCAAGTTCTTATTTTTAATAAGAAAAATAAATATTAATTAGAATACAAACCAAGAGCAGTCCTGCTGAAGTGGAAAGCTTTTTTTTTCAGAGACTGGGTAACCATGGAGTAGAAGGTTGCAATTAATTGACTTATACACCAGGAACTTTTGGTAAAGATTGGTCAGTTTGAACTTTGGGCTCAGTAATGAGCTCTCCAGTTGCCTCTTTGACAGAATGAAGCACAGCAGTGCTGCATGACTCCAGTTAGCTTCACTTTATAATTACAAGTCTGTTCTTTACTATTTTTCCCCAGCTTAAATACCACTTTTTCAAAGCGATGCTGAGGGAAAAAAGAAATGGAACCAATTTTAATGAACTCATGCAAATATAAGCCTGGTGAAATGAAATCACAGACCTAAGCAGAATACTGCATTGAACACATTTGTATGTTTTATGCTAAGCTCATCTAAATTTGAGTAATTGGACCTAATTTGGCAATCTGCACAATCCGTTTGCAAACTTCCACCACTGAATTTTAAGTATGAGCCTGGAAAATCATTAACATTTTTATTTATCATGGTGGCCCCAATCCAGCACAGTACTAAAATCTATGTTTTAATGTTTTGAATGAGGTCTTAGCACATGCACAGCATCCAAGAGTTATCAGGAGCTCTAATTTCAGAGAAAAGTCACTGATATGTTCAGATCACATAATTTTAATCTCAAATCTCTAAATCTTGGGACTGGGAGCCTTCTTCCAAAAAAATCCACTCTCTTTATTCCTCCTCCATGCCACACTATCTGAAAAATATTCCCCAGATCAAAAAAGTTGTTCGATTGCTTTTCATTTCCACCCTTCCTTCTTCTCCAAGAAATTCCCTTACCTGCTCTGTTCCCCCCTCATGCAGATGTTCACCCAGTCCTTCTCCTTTTAGCATGCACTGAGCAGTGCATGAACTGGATGTGCTTTCCATGCTCCAGGAGCAGGGTGCTAGCTCCAATCCAGTTTATTAAAGACCAGTTCTCCCATGCTCTCCCCCACGTGTGTTTTGGCTGCAATGAGGGTTTTTTTTAAATTTGCGTCTCATCTTCGTTTAACAAAAAAATCCCTTATAAAAATGTACTTGTTCCTTAAAATATTTAGTGGGAAAAAAAATTGTTTCCCATTCAACTGTATTCATTGCCTATTTTTTTTTTTTTTCTGAAGTCAAGAGAAGCTAAACCACAACTTTCCAGGAGAAATCTTCCAGTCTGAATTTGGATCAAAGTCTGTATCCATTGCAATGGGAATATTCACAGCATCCCAGCAAATTACTCAAATCAGGGGTGTAAGCAGCCTGCACTGGCACCATGAACCCTCTCCACATAACCAGAACATCCCCCTTGACTATGGCTGTGTGTCAGTAAAGCCATTTAAAATCACAGGTATAGCCAAGATCTATTAAGGCAGAACTGGGGTAGATCACATGCAAGTTTACTTTCTCTCCATGTGTCCTCAGGAAATGTGTTAATTGCTCACAGCTCTAACACAGATTTTCAATACATCTGCAAGATGCAACAACGCACACTGAGGGGAAGATCTGATTCTTTTCTGAGTGCAATTGAGGGATATTCAGTATATTTCAGCATCATGGCTTTACCCCTTCCTAAGCCTCCTTCTGCACCATTTTTCTCCCACTGGCTGGGCTGGATGCTGGGTACCCACCCATCACTGGTGTGGCAGGATGAGCTCACTCCCACACTTGGCCAGGAAGCTCAGCTGTCCCCAGGACTCCACACAGGGAATTCTGTACCAGGACAGGCTGGTGGAGGATGGGTGTTAACTTCGTGTCACGATGAGCAAAATTGGCAGCCCAGCATTTTGAATCCCAACACATCCTCCTTTCTCCATGTCTATCTCAAATCAGTTCCTTAGACTGGATCACAAATTGCTGCCACAAATTAGATTCCATATTTTTGTAGGCCAGCTTAAGCACTGTGACTTGAAGCAATGTGATTGAGGCAAGAATTCAGAGGAGCTATTCCTGGGGATTTCCCCAGATCAGAACTTCTTTGCACAGGATTCATTTTGCTCTCAGGACTTTCACAGTGTAGTCATTACAAAGACCTGCCTGCTCTTTTACCATTGTCGTGATATTGCAGTAGTCAAATTCTCTCCAATTAATCTGAGTAGTAAAAATCAGACCTTTTATTTTGCAACAGGAGAAAAATTAAAAACTTATTCAGCTCTGACACATTTAATGCAAATTGCTGCTTGGGTGGAGAGAAGGCTCTGGTGGAGAAAAGCTCATGCCAGCTCCATCTGTAAGAACACAGGTCGTGCACAACAGCATCCTACAGACCTAAGTCTCTTTAAAAGGCATAAACTCACCAACCAAAGCATGCTTTATGTTGAGGACATGCTGCTCTTTTGACCAGGAACTAGCAGGCCCTCACTAGATAGGTGAAGAAGAAATTACCAGCTGCTCAGACAACACTAAATCCAAGAGTATATCTTCTTTTAGAAGCTTTTCCCTGTGACTGCATGACAAGCAAAGTTCCTACACCTTGACAACTCATTCACCTCAGCGTGTCAGCTTGTAGAGAAAGAGCTGTGGTGGTATTAAATTGGTTTGGAATGGAAGATGTCACCAGAACTGAAGTTTCAAAATGCACCTGAGCAACAGTGCTCTTTTCACTGCTGAAAAGAGAACTGAGAACTAACGGGGTTTAAAGGAAATAGGAATTACTAAAAGATAATTGGGCAAAACCATTTCTTAAGCTACGACAAACACTGTCACATCTGAGGGAACTGAATTTCACCAGTTGGCATAAGCTTAAACCAAGTATGCTGCACTCCCTTCAGCTTAGGCTTGTGCTTATCAAGCTCTGAAGTCTGATCCTTAAACCTGATCCAAAATGCTGAGAGACTCTTCCCTGACAACAAGGGCTCAGTCAGGTGTCTTTATTAATCACAGCTAACGAATATTTTAATTCTGGGACCTTTGGGAGGAAGGGGTGGAGTGGGGCTCTGTGCCTTGCTCCATACGAGGAGATGACAACTGAGATCTGCAGTGCCTGATTAATATTTTATGCTGAGATCCACTGGGTATGCAGTGTAATTCTGGTGGTTTGTTTTGCTCTATGTTTGCTGCATCTCCAATGTTATTTGCAACAGCTTAGTGGAACAACAACAAAAAGAGGTTTCATTCCCGCAGGACAGCATTGGCTGACCTCTCTCACTGCTCCATGTAATTCAGAGGGAGCAGCCACTAAACAGGAACTGAAAGTGCTCTGCAACTTTTTAAGGGGAATAAATGGCACCAGAGATTTACATATAGATAGCATTTCAGAGAACAATTATGTTGATTTCTTCTGCTTAGCATTTATCTACCAGGTTATGCTGGTAGCCAGAGGATGAGCCTGCAACAGGGCAGTGCTGAAAACACATCTCTGTGTCATCACCAACAGGTCACTGCACTGGCTTTAAAACAACATTAAAACACAGTGTGGTCAATGAAAAGAGACAATGAAAGCAAAATGCATAACCTTCGGAACAATTCTACATCTGAGGACCTCACTAACACTTTGCAGAAGTCTCTGATGTGAATTTTCAGTGAAAAGAGGACTGCTGTAAGATAAAATCTCCCATTCTGAGGACGGGCACTGGGGTTGGACCCATGCTCAGGAAATCACTGCATCCCAGAGGCCCCAAAGCAGTCCAGATACCACCAACACTGGCAGACTGCAGCCCTACTGCCTTCAGGGGATGCAATAGTAAAGACAGCTGTTCTGAATCAACATCATCTTAACACATCTCAGAAAGCTTTCTGGTTTCATTGCAATATATGGATGGGGTGATTTTTTCTTTTATTTCCCTGCTATTCAAAGATCTTTAATAGAATATAACTCAAACCCTCCCATTCTCTTAGGAATAGGAGTGATGTTTGCAATGAACTCTGTCATCAGAAGGTATGTGTCAGGGAAAGACTGGGATATTTCTAGATCTCCAGTCTCTTTATGCAGCTTAATGCTAATGAAAGGAAACCATTTTTTGCACACAGTGAAAGGGAACAGATGGTGTCACAGTTCTGCTGTGGAATTTAAGCAGAGTGACAACCTATACAGCAGATCATCATCATGGGTGAAACTCTTTTAGGTAGTCGCATGGAGGGTTTGTTTGGTTTTTTTTATCTACTTAATACTATCCAAATTCTTGAAAAGCTTTTTCTTTCCGTTTTTTTCTTTTTAAATTTAAACCTAAGAAAATGGAACGATTAACCTCACCACCTACAAAATGCCAGAAGACACATGGAGACCAGTGTTTCAAATACACTGTGAAGGGATAGCTGAAACACAGCACCTCATATTGCAACCTGGCTTTCCAATCATGTCTCCATCCAGACACCAGTCACGGGCAAGGAAAAAACAAGGGCTTAAAAATGACACTGTCAATCTGAAAATCACTGTTCTGTCTGAAAAAAAAGGTCCTAGCTTTAATTATGCCTGCAAGGCAGATGACAGCAGAAAAGAGTTGTTGGTTTTTTTTTTTTCATTTTTAATAATTTTGTATTTTACACTTTTGGTTTGCAATATTCTATGTGCAGTTCACCTCATTGCTTCATTTCTATGTTTACCTGCTTTCATTTGGGAGTAAAACAAAGGCAAACAAAAGGCAGATAAAAATCATTGTTAGAAATTTACCAAGAAATTGGAAAATGAAAAATGCCTTTCTACCCAATGATTTGTTACTACTGTTGTTTCTAAATTGATAGCTGAATTTTTTGACCTTGCTGATAACTGAGTCAGACTTGTTTTCATGTGCTGATCCTAGCAGAAGCATCTGAATCCCCACAAAGCATCCCCCTCTCATTCATGAGACAGTCCATAGACAACCTGAAGTTTCACAATTTTTACTATTTTCATTCCCTCAGATTCCTTTCAGCTTATTTTAACTGCCTGCATGAGTATTTTAGAGTGCATACCACTAAAAGCAACAGATGACATGCTCATCCACTCCATAATTCACACTGACAATAGCCAATCTCTGCTCAGCCCATATCCCACAAGAAAAGGGATTAATCAGGCAGCGACATCCTGAACAACAAAGCTCAGCCTGCTGGGTTGGGGTTTAGATCCCCCCAGGAATGGCCTGGACCCACTCCACTCTCTCTGAAACCCTGGAAAATGTTTGCATGATGACACCCCCATATTCCCACAGAGATGAATGATGTGCATGCAAAGCTATCCCGTTGCAAGCCTAATTTTAGTTTTTTACAATGAGACAGAGAAAATCAGGTTTTAGATAGAGCCCATATTGGCACATTGCAATTTTTAACATGCTCAGTTCTGGCTGTGAGGGCCAACAGCCATCAGGCTGGGAAGCCAAATTTGTGAATTCAGGTATGAGTTGGCATGGACTGACAGTCAGGGAAAGCAGAGCAATACAAGCACCCTGAAATAAGTGGGTGAGAGTGCTCCAGGTACTGTGCTCCCCACGGCTGTAAATCAGCAGAGCCTGAAACTAAGGTCTGATATAAAAGAGATGCTCCACCCTCCAGTGCAGGCAACCAACAGCTTAAAATCATCCCCATTTAGCCAAGATCTCGACCTATATGTATTTATGGGGATAAAACAGCAGTTTCTCCAGCAAAAGGGAATGCCAGGGCTCTCTCAGAGCACCTCCCACAACACAGGAGCCATTAATGCCACCACAGCAAACCAGCTGTGACCCCAAAAGTGGCAGTACTTACAAGAAACACTGCACATAGATTTACATTTGGGGCAGAAGCACTTGAAGTGGGGAAAAGTGGGGAAATATTCGCAGTGAGCGAATTCTAAACTCATTCACAGAAGTTCCTAAGGTGTAACCTGCTGATTAGGATGGAGGGACACCACCTTTCTTCGAGGAGAAATGGAACACTCGGGTTTTTAAGGCATTTTCAGGGCATTTCTCGGATGTGTCAGGTAAAACCACTCCTGTGCTCCAAAGCACCCAGGCTCTTGCTGCAGAAACGCAACAGCTCTTACACAGCAAGCGTGAAGTGAAGAAGCAGAGAGAGGCTGCCAGTAAATAGGGTTAATCCCTGCAGGTAATACCCCTTCCCGTTAAACTGTGCAGCATTTTCCAGTCTGCAGATTCTCAGTCCCATTTAACATCTCTGTCTCGCTGCAGGCAGACACATCGGAGCTCTCCCTACCCCCCATCCCCGCGCCCCTTCCCCAAATTTCTGCAAAGCTGTTTGTGCAGGCAGCAGCCAGTTAAACCAAAGGCTGCTGGTACTACCCCGGGAAGCTGGAGGGGGGCGGCTGAGCCGCACAAAAGATCTCCACACAAAAGGCCATCCTTTTCATCCCTTTTTCTTCTTCATTTTCTCCAGCTGAGCCATAGCTTTATTTAATCAAGACTTAAAAATAGATGCAAATGTGGGAGGGGGTAAGGACTGGGGAAGGGGGGGTGATATGGGACAACATCTATTTTAATACAAAGAATCAAATTTGGTGGGTGAGGGGATGTGGGGAGCCTTTAACTCTCATCTTCCCCCCTGCTTCCAAACCCGCGTCCCCAGCGCTCACACAAATCCATGCAGCATGCTACAGATATTTTCCTTTTCTTTTTTTTTTTTTCTCCCTAGGAGGAGACGTAAAGGGCTTGACTCCAAAAAGGACAGCGAACATCCCTGCATCCCCAGCACATAATCATATGAAAAACATGGCTGGCTGGTGCATCGACAGATGCAAACGAGGAAAAAAAAAAAAACAAACCAACAAACCAGACTTAGCCTCATCCGCAGCAAAATTAAAACGGGGAGGAGAAGGGGAGAAAGGGAAATAATTGTGGCTGTGTAACATGGCTGCACGATTTTCAGAGGCTGGCAGCTTGCAGGGAGCAGTGGAAATGTGTGTCTGCTCCGGAGGGAGCTGCTCTGGCACCCCTGCAGCACAGCCCTGCATCCCGCTCTGCATCCCAGCCACCACCGAAACACCACCGCTAAAACAGTTTTACCTGATCAACGCAACTTCACGGCAGCCGGAGGTAGGGATCCTCGCAGAAATGCAGCAAGGAAGGGGGAAAAAAAAAATAAAAAAAATCTGCTTGGATCCTTCTGGCAGTCCACAGCCTCATCTACATGCATCTGAGCGAGCCCTTTCCAGCAGCTGCTTCTTTTATCAAGCCCACAGGCACAGCAAATGAGTCCGGTTAGACAGTTGAGTCAATGTGGGCTATTCACAGCCCGGCTGCTGCAGGAGCCCGGCTTCTCCTGTCCCCTGTCCCCGGCGAGGCACCCGCCCACCTCCACATGGCCCTGGATAAACACAGCCCCACCACATGATCCTGACAATCATCCCTGCACCTCTGCTTCGCCCCACTCTGGGTAAAAAGGCTAAGCCTAAGAAAGCCTTTACTTTAAAGGAAAAAGCTGTCTTTTTCCTTCCCTCATCCCCGCTTCCTTCCCCCCCCTCCCCTTTCCTTTTTTTGTCCCCCTCCCAACCAAGGAGGGGAAAAAAAAAATAAATGAGCTGAATGATGAAGGTGAAGATTTGAAGATGGGTAATATCTTCCTAATCAACTCCGTTCGGCAAACAAGTGTCACTCCGAAATGAAGTGCCATTCAGACTTCTAATAAGCACAAAGCATCAGACAGAGATCCTGGATAAAGCCTGGCACATTCCTGGAGAGTGAGGCTGACCACACTTAGCGCATCCTTGATCTGTACAAAGCCGCTGATTTCCATTTTGTTGTTTTAAAGAAGAAAATGTGATAAGCCCTTTGTTTCTCCTCCTTTCCCCACTGCAAACCATTTAAAAATATTCATCTAGGGATAACCACACACATACACACACTGAAATAAAGCACACACTGTGCCATCCCTGGGATGGGGAGCAAAGCTGGGGGACACAGCACGCTGGAGGCATGTTCCCCTTAAATACACTCACGAGTGGGACACATAGGGTCAAACATGAAGAAGAAACATTTATGAAAGTCATTCCATTTTTCTGTCATTGCACAAAGGAGAGTAAGAACTAAGCCCTTCTCTCTCCCCCTGCACTCCAATATATCTTTAGGACTAACAGTGTCCTTCTTTGTCCCCTCCAACACAGGAAGCAATATGCATATGGAGCTATAAATAAACACACACACACACACATATATATATATATCCTATAAAATGCAGTTTCTCTTGGTTATCTAAACTCTCTCTTTGCAAAGTACCACAGCTAATTGGAAGAGTTCTCCAAACAATCTGGCTGATCCCTGATGACTGCCTACTTGTGTCAGCATTTGCACTTAACTAGAAGTTAGTGTAAGCCATCCACATAAATCAAAGGTAAACACTGATAAGGTATTTGATGCTTGAATAAAAGCAGGTTTATCCAAAAATAGGTTAATAGAAACACACTGTGGCATCACATCACCCAGCTGTGTAGTTGGGTTAAAATCCTGGTTCCTGGAGCCATCACACACAAACCACAAACACAAAACTCCATAAAACCTTCTTCCTTTTCTGAAACGGGAAAGGAACTTTATGGCTCTGAAAGAGAAGTTTGAACTTACTCCCGAAATTCCTCAGAGGCTTAAGAAAAAAGATAATAAAAGGCAGAGGAAGGAAAAAAGAATAATAAAGAAACAAACCTCATGCTTCCTATGCCATTCCCACCTTCTTAATGTTGCAAGGCTAGCAATACCCAAAGCAAATGATACTTTAATCAGGACCACCATCCAAATTTGACTGTAGGAAGTAAGAAACATCCCAACAAAGGTAAGACTGAAGCGTGGGAAGCTCTTGGAACCGGTTATAAATTAATTTCAAAGCCAGGGGAAGAACTGAATCAAAAAATCCATGACCTGGATGAGCAGGGAGTGAGCAGTGCCTTTGACAGTCGGGAAAGGTAACGCTGTTCTTCCGCCTGCCTGCAATTTCCAGCCTCAGCAATGCATTGTTATCTTTAATTTGCACCTGTCTGAACACAAAGCTTTGGTACTGCCCCTCTGCTCATCTCTGCTCACTCATTACCTCCCTTGCCTGAAAGGTGAGAGGAAGCAGGAGGCGGGATTGAAGTCACTCCAGGATTGCATTACAGACTTTAATAAGCTCGGCACGTCACTGTCCCTCATCCCACAGGGAAGTATGACCCATGATCCAGGGGAAGGGCAATCCATGCTGCCATCAGAGCTCCAGCTGCTGCTCACATGTGTATGCAAGCAGCCACGACAGCACATGGTGTGGGAAGGGTGAGGAACACCCAGGAAGGGTGGCTTTAGTTCCCAAGGAGTGGAAAGGAAGGAATTCCCACATATGAACAAAAACAATGTGTGAGAGGTGAAGGATGCTGCAACCTCCTGGTGATCCACCGGCACCTCTCCAGAGTGTGAACATCCTCACCTTTCCACACCTTTTCACCAAGATCCACTGCTCAGCATCTCAGAGCAACTCCAGGTGCCCAGAGCACGGGGTAAAGTCGGTGAAAATTCCAGCAGCAACAGGAGATTGAATATGCACAAAGTGAAGTTATGTGGGCCAGATGTGATACTGGCATGGCAAAGTACAGTTGGCTGAAGACTTATTTTTTCAGGCTTAATTAGAATTTAGCCTTGATAAAAAGCCAAACAGTTCCCCATTATAGTCAATAGGGGTTTGTCACTGTCCTTAATGGCAGCAGGATGTAGAACATTAGGGAAAAAAAAGGTCCAATTCATCACCTTGAATGGGTGAAAATGAAAGTCCATTCTTTGCTGTCACATTTGATTCCTGAAAGACATCTTAGTGTATTGCTACGATTTAACTCAGTATTTCTTTAAAAATAATTTGAAGCAGGATAAAGAGATTTATAAGACATTTTTCTTCTTGCATATTTGATCACTTGTTAAAGGAATGCAATTTAGTTCTAAAAAAAAAAATAAAAAAAATCCCCAGATCTTTCTCTCCAGGAATCTCAGCCCCCGGATGCTCAGCATCCCTGCAGCACCCCCGCAGAGCAGCGATGGCTGCAGTGTCACCGTGGAACAGGTGACATATGTGCCTTCCATTCACTGTCTCCTGCTGAAATGCTAATCATCACCGGGTAGTCCCGGAGTTGGCCAAGACTCCGTAGAAAGAAACAAAGGGAGGAGGAAAACATAGAAGGAATCTTAAAGCAGCCTAAAAACTTAACTTCAGAGAAACAGTTGGAGCCCGTATCCACAAAATTCCGTGTTGCAGAAGAAAGAAAAAAAACAACCTCACTCTTTGAAGTTGGCTGGAAGCACAACTGGTTGGTTTCCAACTTCTCTCAGACTCTAATTTGACAATTACTTCGCTATCTTTATTTATTTCAGGCAGACAGGAGAGGAAGGAGCAATGTAAAAGCTTGATCAGTGTAGTACAAAGGTCATAAGATCTGAGGTCATTGCTTCACCTGTCAGCTGGTCCTTGACATCTGCTCCTGCTAAGCAAGGAATGCATGTGTGTGTCCTTGGAGAGCAAATTTGGCTTTTTTCAGAGTACAACACAAAGTTACAAGAGGGCACAATTCTGAACAGCAATATTCACTGTCATCTGCAAACTGTAATCAACTATGTGCATTGCTATGCACTGTTTTTTCTTCATGGTCATTGATTTTAGGAACAGATATTTAATCTGCACTGTATAAAACCAGGCCTAAAATTTCAATTAGTTCCTCTGGTACTGAGCGCAGGCAGATAAAATTGCAGAACTATTATCAGCTTTAAAAAGCCCAAACAACAAACAAAACAAAACCCAACCCGCACTGTTCTGGTATTCCTTCTTGCTCTTACATAGAATGTCTGCAAGCACATATTGTAGTTTATCTGAACAACATTTTTTTAACAGATAAATGGAAATATACTGAATATATAAATATATATTGAAAATGTCTAGTTTTGAAAAAAATCAATATGAGACTTTGACTTGGAGTCTGGGGCACTTGTATATTCCAATACGAATTTTTGTTTGTTTTGCAAGAGCAGAAGCATGAAAATTCTTACAATGTTACAATAATAAACTTCTCATTTTCAAACTTCTCTGTGGATTTGTATAATAAAAACAATGTTTAAAAGGCATCTCCCCATGCCATAAAAGTATCATAGTTAAGAGATTCCAGTTGATCTATAGGAAATGACACTTCTAATATTCACAGAACAGAAGGAAAACAACCCTCCCATGAATTCAACCTTCTATTAAAGGAAACAGTGCTTTTTGTATTGAATCACGGAAGTGTTTCACCCAAGTAAGTGGTCAATGACTTTTATTTTACCAATATACAACCCACAAGCAAATTATGAGACACTGCATATATCTATACCTGACCATCCCTTTCCTGCCCTTGTGAGACAGAGTCCCCTGAAGAGGCTGAGGACTCCCCCAGAGAACCCACAGACACATTTAGCTTTGATGCTTAAAGATGTAAGTAGAATCAATGATGTTAAAAGGATCTTTTACACATTCATCACGGTGTTTATCACTGTATCCCAGCCTCACTCACACCCAGAGATGCTCTGCAAAGTATCACTTCAGGTTGTTTCCCTGCCATGGAGTGTCCTCCTTTTCTCACATTAAGAATGAGCCAAAAAATGGACTGATCATTTTCCCTGTGCTTAATAGATTCTGGCACAACCTGGCCTCCACTATAAACAAATAGCCTCAGCACATGAAACCCCTGAAGACTGATTAAAAGTAAGCCTGATTTCATCTGCACCGGTTTCGTGCAGCCATTAATATTGTTAACACACAACCTTTTGTTCTGCCTAGCTGGAGGGCAGCTCACATTGCACTCACTGAGGCACCTCTGAAGGTATGCTCGCTGCCACTGACATGTAGGAGTGTGTTAATGGTGCTTAACATTGCTTTAACATAAGGCAGAGTGACACCAGTAATGCAGAAATTGATACTTGTGTGTAAAGTGATGCCATTGAGGTTCAGGGAGGGGAGAGGTCTCACTGCCAGTGCAGCTACACAGATTT